TATATATATATATAAATATGTTTATGTATGTATGTATATATGTATATATGTATATATGTATATATGTATATATGTATATATGTATATATGTATATATGTATATATGTATATATGTATATATGTATAAATGGAAAATATGTATATATGTATATATGTACATATGTATATATGTAAATGTGTACATGTGTTTATGTATCTATGTATCTATGTATCTATGTATATATGTATATATGTATGTATGTATGTATGTATGTATGTACATATGTACATATGTACATATGTATATATGTATATATGTATATATGTATATATGTATATATGTATATGGGTGATGGGATTGTTGTTGAGTTGGGGATTATTCGACCCTGCCCTGCATGTGAGCATTGGTTGCAGAAACCCTGTACCCTCGAAGCCCGAGCCACAAGCCGTAGACGCTGCATCTCAACAGCAACTCCAAGCCCTGAATTTTTGAAGCGGAGCGAAGCGTTCAAGTTGGGTAGTCGTCCCACTCCTTGCTTGGGTTGCGTCGGGTCCCCGCCTAGCAACAAGCAGCCACAGTAATCAGGCGGACTTGCGGTCTGAAACTTTAAGGTTCAGGAAATAACGCTACTGTCGAAGGCCGTGGCAGTACGAGTAGTGCATTTTCTAAATAAAAAGGTCCCTGCAAATGTGGTCATGCCCGCTTCTCTGTGGAACGGCGTAAGCCTTGGGGGCTTCACGGGGTGGCGAGTTTCTTCTAGCCGCCCCAATGTCCTCTCATCATCTCATACATTTCATGGGAAGGGAGCGCAGATGCGCGGGCTTGGGAGACCAAGCTCAAACCCTGTGCAAGCAAACAAGCATGGCCCTCATGTACGACAGAGCAAGAGTAATTACTGGATGCATGTATGCATACATACCTGAACAGTCGGCTCTGATGAGTACGTGAGGTCAGCCTGGCCCAACCTCGAGTTGTAGCTCAAGGAGACAGGCAAGGCGGTCTTCCGGTCAAGACAAAGGTCTGCAGTAGGGGTTTAATTTCCATCATAGCATGATCTTGTTAGGATTTGGCAGCATTGTAAACTGACAGCCTGATGTTTACATGTTTTGTGCGTTTTTTTCATGTTTGGCAATTTCTTCAGGTTTACGACTTGGGGTTTATGCTCTCTTTATGCTTTCTTTCATTTTCTCGCTGTTTCGGGACATTTGCCCCGATGTAGCTCTGAGGGTTTAGCCAGTTTCGGAGCGCCAGAAAAATTCCGGACCCTTCAAGATGAAACCCTAATACTAAGCATGATTAATCCTGATTTCAAGGGCATGTTGATAAGGTGCCCCCAGCATTCTGAAACCTCAGTTTGCGGTATGACAGGAGGGAAGTGACTAAGAGGTGGAGACTGCAATGAGATGGTTAACGAAGTTTAAGGAGGCTGATCTTCTGGACGTCAGGGGCTTAAGAATTAGGGCTGTTTGGGACGGGGCTGTTCTGAGCCTTACCGATTGGAGTTCAGCACAACAATCATCCAGCTTGAATGTGATCCGTGAGTCGAGCAGCATTACCGTGAACACACGATCACAACAAGAATCAGCAGGCATGTATGCATCTAAAACACTTCGAATGTCCCAGACTCGAAACTCCGGAACATGTCAATAGCACAAAGCATGAGTACCCGGCCCTACGCTGTAACCACTGAGACCCACAACCTTAAACTGAAAGCCCCAAACCCAGAAATCCGTATCCCCTGCACTTGCATCTGTGCAGGATTCCTTTCGTCCTCGCGTTCGAGGAATTGGAGCTTATGGCCCGTGCGGCCTTCGAGTGCGAAGAAAGCGAAAACCGGGTGCCGTTCCGTCTCGTTGTCGGCTTCAGGTATGATTTTAGTGGTTAGAGGCCTTATCCCGAACATTGGGTTTAGGTTTAGGTATTTGAAGGGACTTCGGGGTTTCCAGGATGCCCAACCTGAGAAGCTGCAAACCAGTACGACGTACGAGTTTAACGGATCCCAGAGCCTATAACCCTAAGGCCTACACCGCAGCCACAGCTCGAGGTATGGAAGGCCAAACCTGTCGCCTCATTTTTGTTGCCTTGTCTCTCACATCAGGCGCCCGGCAATGTCACAAAGAGGTGCCGGGCTTTTTGCGCTACCATTAGCTTGTATCAAAACTGAAAGTTGATCGAATGGTTTTGGTTGATCTTTGCATGTATATAGCTTGTACATCGGGACGAGAGAAAGCGACCTTACAAGCTTCAGTTGAGCCGTGGCGAATGCATTATTTAAGCGAAACACTGAGCTTGGTCTTCAGGTTCATCTAGAACCCCATGGACAAACCCCTATACAACCATATTCTCGCCATGCTTTGCCACAAGTACTACCCGGATTCAGATATAATGGACGGCACGATAATCACTTTCTCTTAAATATTGGCGTCTCTAGGACAAACTCCGTGAATATATTTTCGCCCGAATGCTGGCTGAAATGATCGCCTTGCCCCTATAGTATTGGCATCTCCAGGCCGTATCATTAAAGTTTTTCCTACGAGTCAAAGTAGAAATAGAATCGATTAAGTCTAATATGGAAAGCTTTGCCCCAAAGAAATGCGGGAAAAAACCCTTTGGGCATCTCTAGGACGCGCTATGAAAGAATTTTGTTGTTTTCAAAAAAAATATCTTGAGGACGCACGGTGATAATACTTTCCCCTAAATATTTAAAGAAATACGATCGACTCTGTCGAATGACGGAGCCGGGGATATGGGAGTGTTCTTCTAGGGATACGGGGTTGTGGGTCCCTGCTAGATAAGAAGTGTAGTACCTACCAAGCAGAACAAAATTGCAAGAGCGTATTAAGAGATTTCCTCCTATTGGAATTCATGGGGGGTGCCGGATTGATTATTTCTACTATATTATTTATGTCATGCTCGGGGGGCATTGATTTTTGGGACGATCTTGGCTCTCTGAAGCCTCAAATCGAAGAATCGCGATGCCTATTGCCACGTTTAATCTTGCATCTGCAAGCTCAAAGCCTGAATATCCGTAAAAATACTGAATTAGACCTTAAAATTTCTTTTCTACGAACCCTTTATCAACCGAAATCATAAAATCTTAAACCCAAACCTTCCAATAGTTCTTTTTCGCCTTTCATGGCATATCGTTATTTGTATATGATATATCT